GAATGTATGCTTATTTTAAACCAATTTTAGACACTCCAATTACGCCGATACGCAGTAATTGCTCAACCAGCGTGCAGCCTGCGTTGGCTGGGCTACCCGACACGTACAACACCCAGCCAATCTTTGACTTGGCGTTGCCTTACGGAGACAGCAAGGTCGACGATTTTACTGCCTATGACTTGCGCGTACGCCAGTCGAATCCTGTGCTGCTCATTTTTGGCGCCAAGCAAGACCAAGATCAGGGCAAGGTTGTCATGTATGATAGCAAGTTGCTGTGTGTGGCGCCGGTCAATGTGACGGCCGGAAGCCATGTTTCCAAGTCTTTGGCCGTTCAAACACGAGTACCAATGGCGTTGCTTTTAATGATCGCTGTCATGACCCTTTTTGGGCCATTTCTTTGTTGATGCATGACTGCGCTGCGGCGTATAGCAGGTCAACACAGAGACCCATGTTCCAGTTGTGTCATTGGATCGCCATGTCGATTCAAGATTACATTTGATCCCTTTCAAAAGTCTCATGTAAAAGTCGGAACATGTCTCAATCCGCCTTCTTAGCGTCGCTTTGAGCTTGTTGTTTTCAGTTTATTGCCCAGAGCAGAAAAGGTAGAAACAAATGTGTTTCTATTTTTTTTTTGTTCGCCAAGAGACGAGTTTTTCTACATGTATATATATACACCTCTAATAAGGTTTTTGAAGACAGTAAAGACAGGAAGAAAAGAAACAAAGAGAGTAGAACATGGGTTCTTCAGCCAACAGAGTCGCCGTTTTTTCTATCTTGACAAGAAATGCTTTTTGAAACATTCACTGGCTCAGATACCCAAACATTGTAAACAAACACATCTCAAGCTAAACTTGGTGTGGTCCTTCTCAGTGGCCGGTTACTGCAGACCCTGGCAGCTCTTGATGGCTGCAGTAGCTTTCTCATCGCACTCAGCAAACTCGCCAGCCTCTGCTCGGCACTTTTGAAAGACTTTGATGCCATCCCTGGCGCACTCCTGCTGCGACTTGCCGGGAGCAGCGCCCGCTTTGAGCTGCTTCTCAATATCCGACCACGGTACAGTCTTGGCATCCGGGCTAGTCGACTTGAACTCTAGGCATTGGTCCGCCCGGCCAGGGGCAGTTGCTTTTTCAATTTTGCACTTTGCCGGCTCCTCTCCGCCGGAGCGCTGGCGGTACTTGAAGTGGTATTGATCCTTCATTCCGATGCAGTCAAAGGGAAACTGAGGGTCGAGATTGCCCTCGTCATCCAGTCTGGCAATGACTTCTTTCTCGGGGCAAAAGTATCCCGGCTGGCCAAAAAAGACACCCCCAAACGCGCAGTGTTCTGCGCAAAAGTATGAACTTTCAGTGACCATGACGCCGGCGACGTCACCACCGAGAATCGCGTTGACTCCCGCGGCGGCACTGAGCAACAAGGATAGGGCGAGCATGGTAGTGACGCGTGAGGTGTGTTGAAGGAAAATGAAGAAGATGTGGGAAACGTTATGTAGAGTAAAAGGTGCAGTAGCTTTGTTGGTTGATTTGCAGAGTAGAGAGGCTGGTGAGCCTTGGATTGGGGTGATGCTTGTAGGGCTATATATAAGGAAAGATACATACGAAGGAATAGATTTCCCTAAACAGAAAGCCACGTAACAGCTCAAAATTGAACCCAGACATTAAGCCATATACTTTTTGCATAGCCTATCAAAATTCCGAGTCCTGTACTTCAGACTGTTCAAGCTTGACGGTGTGTCAGCTTGGTAGAGCATGAATCAGGTAATAAGCGTAGTCTTTAGTGTGGAATCTCTAATGACTAGGATCAAGTATTAAATCTTCATATCATACGAGGTAACTGGAGTCACTGGTTTCATTCATGTCATATTTGATTAACCAATACTTTACTTGTCTGTTTATTCTCGGCGACAGTCACGGCCCTGTACAGCAGTCTTGGCAACGGTGGTGCCGGAATACACGTTCGTCATATGTCTCCAAAGAGCTTCTCAGCCAGTCTGTGGCCATCTCGAGGCGCTTCTAGAACGTCAGCTATCTCTGGAAAAAGAACGAGAGACTAGCTTTTATCAAGCGTCGTTGGCTGATAATAAGTTGCCCATGCGTAGAGTAGTTTCCGGCTGCGGTCCGCCGCCCGCTCTTCACCTGGAATCCGCGTTTGTAACCCTTGTGGCAGCATATCAAAGCTTCTTAAGAGATATCCACTAATCGTCTGAGAGTTTGGTGGCGCTATAATACGTTTTTGGTCGCTTTTGCGTGGACTCGCCAAGCCTATGGCGTCTATGGCAACAGAAAAGGAACTCTCCTTGGGTCAGTCATAGTCTCACACCAGATGCGGTTACATATGTCCATTCAACGTACTACTGAGATTATGAAACAACCGAGAGAAGACTATTGATGGTGGCCGGGAACTGACCAGGGGTAATAGGCCTTCTGACCACTGACTCAACGACAAGCTCGTTCTGCTCCCAAGCCATATTATGATACGATACCAACAAACACGGGCTAGACACACCTAGCACGGAGTAAGAAGAATCAGAAAGACACGACTGAGCTACAAGCAGAATGAGACGAGGTTTGGAACTAGATGTAGCAAAAGCCAATGACTTGCATGTTACGAATATCGGATGATAACAAGACTTACCAAGTGAGCTGTGCTTGTCCGTTCCCATTCTCAACTTTGATAAACTACGCCCCACCACCTCCGTCATAGGCGATAGGAGCTCCTTAACATGACGGCTCAAGTAACTAAACATGAACCTCTACAATGATGTTATGCTTGTTCATTTCGGAATCAATCAAATATCTCACACAAATACGGCCCCGTTCATCTCTTCTGACAAAGCAGTCAAGCGGGCACCAAAAACATGGGCCACCATTTGGTAGCCGTCCCCGCCTCCCGCCCCCGTTACCTCTCAAGGCCGTCCCCGCAGGACGGGGCGGGAGGCGGGGACGGCTACCAAATGGTGGCCATGTTTTTTTCGGTACCCGCTTGGGTGTACGCCGTCGGTAAAGTTTGCCTACGGTATGGATGAAGGGAACTCTTGACTAATCAAGGTGAAGAAAGAGAGGTGGCCAGTGAAATAGAACGTCCAGCCGCCGGCCTCGCAGGGCGATTGCCAACAGCATTCACACCAAGTGCAGGATGCAATTCGTGTTAGTATACGGCTTTGTCAAATACTTTTGACGATAATCAAGATTACGCTCATTCCCGAATTTGAACTTGTCTAATTGATCCGCTATCCCATCTCTCCAATCTCTCTAGCAAAGTCGTTCCACCTACCTCGGCGTGTAGGATCGAGGGCTACCAGCTTCTCCAGCCAGGTTCTTAAATTACCAGCGTCGTCACTATCGCCTATCGAGCGTTTTTCCAGACGCCTTAAAGACAGAGTGTACTCTAAAAGAGCCTGGTATATCCATTTGACATTCATGTAGTCTTCAAGTAAGTCTTTAATCTCGTATATCTCATGCTTCATGTAAGCAACTCTCTCAGCCACAGTCAGAGCTGGTGCGATGGCATGTCGATCACCGTCTTTGACGATTTGCGAGATTAGAAATTGGTGATAGTACCACAGGCTTTGATCTTCTGGCCCAAGGTTCAGACCCTCTCGCACGGTGTCAAGTTCCTGGCCGAGGAAAGCGGCTCGCGCCTCGTCGTTGCAATTCTGCTCTGCGACAACTCTCAAAATAAGCTGGCTTCGGTGGTGCCAGGCGGAAAAGTTGGACAGGTTACGACCAATCATCCCAGTCGTAAAAGCGAATTCTTCTTGGGCCAAACTCTTTCCGTGGAGCTCGGGGCTTTCAAGCATGGAGACTACGGACTTTCTGTAGCCCCATGCATGAAAGTTGCGCTAATCTCTGTCGAGCATCTTGCAAGTTATACCAAGTTCAACCTCCCATATCGTACAGGCCGCTTGAACGGACAGTCGGCGAATTGTTTGTGAAAGAATCCACCATTGGTAGCTCCAGATCCAGTAACACTTTGGAGACTCAATATTCCTAAAAAATTACTTGGTTATATATTAAATTTAGTATTTCTAGTAGTTTAAAGAATATTTCTATCATAATAAATCTTATTTTATTTCGTAAAGAAAATCTTTACTCAAGACAAAAATTACAATACATCCGTAGTCGTTAATTTATTTTAGTTATCATCTTTATAATAACTCCTTACCAAGTATAAAGCATGATTCTGACTTGTTGCAATTTTTCATGCTTTGAGCACTATTGGCTTGCGGCCCATTTCAGCGAGTCGCCATGTTGGCATGTTGTCAAAATCCAAGTTCATCTCCAAAAGTCGGCAGAGTGAGGTATCGATGCCGGCATAACCAGACAGCCACCTGACTCGAGAACAAGGAGGCTGACATCTGGTGTCGGTCCTCCCTCTGCTTTTGCATGTCTTTGCGATCTGCCACCAAGTAGAATACATCGATTGTAACAATTCTGAACTTTTACATTCTCATAGCCAAGGTTTCTCTTCTTTAACCATGTGTTCTACGCAAAGACTTTTAAACTTGACTGATGAGTATCTAGCCAATCACAAGCAAGAATCATCCCCATAGAACCCCCTCTATTTGATTGACTGATTCCCGCACCAAAGTGCTCTACAGATCTGGGAGCGACATAACTACGCCACTAATCTGAGAAGTCCTACGCCAGTCATGTAAGGCGTAGAGTTTGAGGATTCATGTAGTACACCGATACCAATAAGTTTCCAGCGCCTCGTATCTACCGACCAGACTAATAGTTGTCACAGTGTCACAAACCTCCTCTGTCAATGTCTACTCGAACTTTTGTCTAATCAACATTGCTACTTATCGAGACATTGATACTTGATGCGCTACATCAGAAAGTTCTCATCTCATCGTCATGTGCTAAAACCAGGTACTAAACACTGTTTCAATTGTACTGGCTATATAACTTGAGCATATCCAAACTTGGCGTTTCTGCGTCCCTTAAGCCCTTGACAATCATCCTTCCATTTCTGCTCCGATCCTAGCTTCTCCACTCGTAGTGCGGTGTTCTCTATACTTGTTCACAGGCCCATTCCGTTTTAATATAGCCTGGATCAAGGGCCACATTAATGGAGACAAACGTCGTCATTGCAAGAGTTGTAAGCGCAGCATCTTCCGTCCTGCTTGCTGCCTTTCGGACAACACTCCTCATTTTGCTGATAACAACGCTCCGCAGAGCAACCCAGAGCCGGGCCCCCTTTGCAGCTGCAGATGCCACCCGACATGACGCCATTCCCGCAGCAGCCACCGCTTTGAGGAGGCCTACCACACAGCCCGCAAGGCGCGTTTCTGCACGCGCCACAAATGCAGGCGACATCGCATCCACGCAGGCAATCGCACTTGAAGCCTGGGGTTAGATTCACCAGACGACAGTACCCATCTATACATCTTGCAGGGATCCGGGCTGACTTTGCGGGGCAATCTGATGTGTTTGGTTGTTTGCAATCGTCACGGCTCTGACATTTCTCACCGACCCACGTACAGAACTGGACCCCTTTGATCTTGAATGCAAAGACTTCGCGCTTGCCAGATTGGACTTGTTTTGGACAATATTCAGGAAATCTAGGCTGCCGCGCGTGGTAGTCCGGTGCCGCAAGAGCCAAAGTCAAGGCAGTAAGAAGGAGTGATTGAAAGAAAATCATGACGGCTAACGAGAATGGAAAGCGAAAAGTTGGCAAAGTGATTGGGATAGTTTTAAGAAAAGGACATGTGGACAGTAAAGTGTCTTTTATACATGGTAGGCTGGATATGAATTCCAGAGGAAAGTAGCAATTCTCAGTCTCAAAGTGGGGGAAGTAGTAGTTGATTCAGAGAAGAGCCAGGATTTCAGCCGCTAAAGGACCCTGTCATCTGTTTTGCCACCGGTAATCTTGTGACCTTTTGCTGGAAAGTAGCTACGAAGTTGCTCTTGGCAGGGAGTCTCGAGGTAGCTGGAAGCACGGCTGGCAATTCTTCATTATTACTGGGCCTTTGAAAATCACTAACCGCTAATGAGACCATGTTTCATGAGTTGTTCCTCGTGTTTTTCTAGCTGACGGCTTAGGACTGCGGCTGAAGCAATCTCTTCCGAGCCTGAGATGCGCTGGCGTAGATTTGAAGCCTGTGAATCTTGATGGGAAGCTTGTGCTAGCCATCAGTCTTGGCTCGGAGAAACTTCAGCTCTGTTCAGGCTGATTTACCGAAATATCACCCTGTGAAACAAGTTGCTGCCTTGAAGTAGTATGAACTGCGACTGCTTCTCTAGTGATGAAACGCACGATCCTAGTACAAATAACGATATACGTCTTCCAATATGACGTATTAACGGCATAGAAAGCCACGTCAAAGCGAGACACGGCGTAGCGAAACAAGCATGACTGACTTGCAAAGAGGCAAGTCTTGTGAGTCTTTATGCTCTTCTAGGGCTGGTGATTTGTCTGTGGCTACTGGTATTGTGCTAGCGTTTATCAAATCGGGGCAGCCCGCAATACCTAGCTTATTTTCGAACGTAGCTTTGGTACATGATAAAGTCAGCATTGGAGTGGGGAGAGTAGTTGCGGTACCACACGGTGAAAAATTGTCAAACCTATGCATTGAGGCGGAAGTTATTGACCGCGCGGTCAAATGTAAGCGCGCAGAGATCTCGCAACGCTTGCGAGATTGCCACGATTCAAGGGCTTGAAGTTCCATCAGAAATGGGGTACATTAGGCCAAGATGCATTCTTTAGGTTCAGCCATTGTGACATGACCAGCTCACATAACTTTGTCTCGGATAGATCCATGGCTTAATTTTTTTTTTTTTTTTTTTTTTTTTTTTTTGCTTTTGACAACCTCGCAGCCTTCCATCTGGGGAAGAGTGTGGCTTACATTTTGCTGCGACGTGGCGGCCTGAAGTAGCTGACCATGTACGCCACATGGCGTTACGGTCTATGCCGGGCAGAGGTACGTCGCATCTACAAAAGTCTTTTCGACTCCATTATACGTAGGTGTTTCTTTTGTTCTGATATTTCTTGGCAGGCTGAGATGATCTTTTTTCTGTTCGGCTCGTCGTGATGGCTGGATTTGATTCACACACCTGGTGGTCTTGCATCTGCCGAACATCACCCCCGAGGACTTTGTCCGTCCATCTGCCAGCTTCAAGCCCACGAACTCTGCCATCACATCACGACTCACATTACATATAGGTGTTTGACGTTGACGGTCACGTTAGCTTTCGACTGGTACAGTATTTTCTTCGGTGGTATTGAGCCAACGCGCTTTGGGTATCCCGACTTTTGTCAATAAACGCAGCAAATGGAGGAGCGACGCCTAAACACCATCACCGGTCTGCCGAAACGGGCATAAGGCGGGTGAGGGGTGACCCTGGTTAGACTAGCTTTAGCCGAAACCTTTTCATCCTATGCAGCTGTACATGTCTACAAATAACGTCGCAGTGCATACAGGTCGCATGTAATGTAGAGTGGTTCAAGACCCCATTGGCATTAATACCCGGACCGTGGTAAGAAGAAGAAGCGGCAATAGTAAAAGGGAATTACGCAACAGTCGCCGGGTCAAATGTCATCCTCGCCATCGTATTAGCACACCAGCATCGATCGATAGTTTGTCGACTATTCACTGCAAGTCAATGAGTGGGACAATAACACATTACACTAGCTAAAGAACTTTACGCATCATTGCCCTTCTAAACTCCGTTTGGTTCTCCCTGGATAATCCTCTCAATCTCTCAAGCATTCCTTCGCTATGACTTGATACATCACCAGATCTGACCCGAAAATTTCTTAGTAGGAGGTACAATAACGATAGAAAAGTGTCATACAAAGTAAGCCTAAGAAAAATAAATATCTTTAATGCCTTGTATGCTACGCGTGGCTACTCCCCGATTGTCTTGCTGGTCGCTGTCCTCTTTGGCATTCTAAATCGGAGATAATCCTGTTCGACTTGCTTCCAAGACCACTGAGAAGTCTTTTCGGTCTGCGCGCCTGTTTGCTTCCCCTCCTGCTGTCTCGAACCGCGAGAGAGGGCCAGCGGCTGCTTGACACGGGTGTCTGCGGCTGTTTTGTATTGGGCCTTTCGGCTCTCGCGAATACCGTCAAGCAAGCGCTCGAACCAGCCAACCATAGAATCCCATTTGTAGCCATACAGAAATGCAATGGCCAGCACACCCAGAGTGACTGGAAGTGCGATGGACCAGAAGAGCGGCTGGTTTCTCTTCGTTTCCCTGATATCCGCGACATTCATGCCGAAGAAGCTTGAGACGAACGACCTGAAGCACACGAAATAGGTATCGTCAGAAATGCACGTACTTCGATTACTGAATGGAGAATACTCACAACGGCAAAAAGAACAATGTGACAATCGTAAACACTCGGATGGCCTTGCCGTGTCCCTCCTCGAGGATCTCGATGCTCTGCTTGACCTGTTCTCTTAGCCTCTGCGACCGTCCCAGGAGGGCCCGCACCTCGAAGTCGCGCTGACTTAACCCGGCCATTAGCTTTTCAATGTGCTGGCTCTCCAGCGGGTATAGGTTCTCGCGCGAGGAGTTCATCGTCTCGGACAGCCTCGGCGCCGTGAGGTCGCGGTAGTTGCCAAGAAGCTTCTGCTGGGAGTCAATCACGTTGCGGAGAGCGTCGAGCTCCTCCTGCAGGGTTTGGATATCGAGGAAAACCCGGCGGCGGGGCTTGCGGTTGGCTTCGAACTGTAGCTTGGCCGTGTACTTTTGGTACAGCTCGAGGAGGGTCTCCGGATGTGACTCGGCGTTGATCCCTTGGTGCTGGAGGTGGCCGATGAGGACGGCGACGAGGAACTCGATGCCGATGTAGTCGAGGCTGATTTTGGCCCCCATCGCGGTCCTGGTACTGAGGAGTATGAGGTTGGTACGGGCATGGTCGAGGGACCGGTGTGCCCGCGCGAGGCACTCGGCGCCGCAGCGGATCATGTCCTCGACCTTGGCGAGAAATTCCGCCGACGGTGTTCGACGAGCCGAGCTCGTAGAGGCGGGCCCGGCTCCTCCATTGTTGGGATCGTGATCATCAAACATCCACTGGTTTGCGAGGGAGAGTTGCTTCGCCTTGATGATGTGGGCCATGACGATGTCCTCGAAGGCGTCAACGAGGTCCTTCGTTAGAGAAGGTGTTGCACTGCTGCTACTCGGCATCGAGGCGGATGCGCTACTGGCACCCTCTACGCTCGCGACGGCAAGCTGCAGATCAGTGGCCCGGTGGCAAAGGCCGCGCAACTCGCTAATAAAATTTTGCGTGAGCCGCGCGATCTCGTTGTAGCGTCTGCCGTCATGCTTCCGGTGAGTTGCACGGAGCCAGACGTAGCAGGGGTCGTCGAAGACATGTTTGTATCGGGTCTCGCCAGGGCAGTTCGTATGGAGCTGATGAATGTGAGACAGGGCCTCATAGGCTGTATCATAAGTACGGGACTTGGTGCAGTCGGTGCATTCGCCGAAGGCCATGGGCGACGGCTTGGGCTTGGATGATTCCCCGTTCTGGACTAAAGGGCTGGGCGTGATGTGGAACTTGCAGATGCACCACTTCTGCAGTCGTTTAGAGTCAATATCTTCAACGGCAAATTTAATTTGCTAACCAATGATTAGATGACTGCATCAGCACGCAAGGGCCGTTCCCTTGAGAGTCGAAAACTCACCCTGAATATCCTATCGAGCGAGCCCCAATATCTCTCTGTGAGAGGATGGATGGTCCACAGCTCGGCGGGGATGAATAGCCCAAAGATGTCTGTGGAGAGATCGGCGAGCATCTTTGGTTCCACTCTCACCGCATCTTTCACATGTTTCCGACTAGGCTTTCTGATTTTACGTGCGGCTTGATGTCGTCTGTCCAAGTCTGGTCCTGACTTCGAGTTGCTGGGTACATGGCACGAAGAGCTCACTGGCGTCTGGACACTGCGGTTCTCGCTATCCTCATCTTCATCGCCATCATGAGTCAGTATAAAGGTGCCATCTAAATAAAATTCTTGGTCGATAGTCTCCGCTGTAGACACATGATCCATCATGCCGTCCGTACATTCCACGGCAATTTGAGAGGTGATCTCGGTAGGACCACCAACGTCCGTCGGCAGCGCAACCGATATGTGCTCATCGACACATTGACTCAGCAAGTCGTCCATGGGCGACAGAGCCGGCGACGGTAGCTTCATCCAGTCGTGATGTCGCTCTTCAAAATGGAGAGGCGAACACATGTATGCCTTGTCGTAAAGCTTCCCGACGAGCTCGCGCGCAACCAAGTTTTCATTGGCGTTTTCTAAAAGCCGGTTGATGACGGTATCTTTCATGGAGTCATCCTTTGCATCGCAGAGGGAGGTTTTCCAGGTGAAGAACGGCAGCTTGGTGATTCTTGCGTTGTTAGATGGCTCCTTCGATTGTCCTCGGGCCTTGCCCTCATGCGGGCGAGATGCTTCATCGTGGGGCTTTTCGACGCGAGCCTCTTTGCCACTTCCGTCTTCTTCAGACTTTCTCAAAGACTCTGGATCAACGCGAGAGGGGTCCGATACCCAGACTGCCTTGAGCTGTACCACGTCATCCTCCTCACCAGCCTGTCCCTCGTTCTGAGCCGCCACTTCATGGTTGTCATCGACCGAAGAGCAGGCAGTAATCTGAAAGTCCACGGAGTCTCCCGACAGACTAGAAGTGTCGTCCTTGTGCTTCAACTCGTTAGCAAATGAGATCCGAGGAACTGCTGGCAGGGGAATATTCTTCACACCTTGTCGGTTGCATCGTGTCCAGCTCCCGACGCATTGGGCTTTTGATCGTACAGTCGGGGGGTTTGTAGCGAGAGATTATTGGAAATTTTCTCCTCTTCCTTGAATCTTATGATGCGATTGTCTTCCGTCGTTCGCAGATGGGCGTCGGGGGTGGAAAGAGTTTCCACTCCCAGCAGGATGTCCGTCATCCGCCGACGGCTCGCGATTCCTGGATCAACCGCGGGCGGAGGGTAGTCGAACTCCGCGCCGACCGAGTTGCCGATCTCTGCTTTCTCGGAGCCATGATTCTGTACAGCTTGAGGCGCGTCCTCCGGCTCCGACTCGGAGTCATCGGTAGTCGTTGCCAGCCGAAACATCACTTTCGATTTCGTCACCTTCTTGTTCGTGGTATGCACATCTGCGCGGCCTTCCATCTTTCCCGGCGGCGCTTGTGGTTTTTCGGAAGACTTGCTAGCTGCTCGCTGTCGGTAGATTTCTCTTGATATGGGTGTGCCGACTTCACCTGAAGGGGCTCGATAGGGCTGCATCTCGTTGTCTGATGCCGGCGGCGCAGTTGTGTACGCGCGAGACGATGAGATGGGCACGACTCGGTTGGCCGTGGTGGCCGACATTGGGGTGAATGGAGTGACTGTGGCGGCCGACATTGGCGTGAATGGGTTGGCTGCGGCGGCCGACATTGGCGTGAACGGATTGGCATGGTAGGATCTCAGAGGAGAGAAGGGATTCGCAGCAGAGGTGTTGTAGGGTCCAGGCTGTCTGTAGAGATCGGCAGGGAAGTTGGGAGGTGGATAAGAGGGCATGAATTGCTGAGCCGACGCAGACTGGATCATATTGGGGAAGTAGTTGCGATAGGACTGCCTATATGGAACTATTCCATATTGTGAAGGAGTGGCTTGAGACGCGGCCTGAGCCCGCTCAGACTCGTTTGCTTTCTTCCAGCCCTTGGCTCGGATGAGCATCATCACTTCTTCGGGGGCCTCAGACATCAGCGAAATCCAGGCTTCGCTATCCAGTGGCTGCCCGTGCTCGCCCAGCAGATCAAATTGGTCGAGTGAGTATTTTCTCCTCACTAGCAGGGCGAGTTGAGTCGTCAGTGTCTGGAATGAGGGTCAGCGGCCTGTCACTAGTTGCGTGAAGGCTGGCACATACCAAGAGACTACAGTTACGCGGGATGACGAACTTGATCTCCTCCTCGTCCAGATCTGTCACTCGGACGAGGCAGGAGTCTCCACGGGCACTGTAACGCCGTCGATCGATTGCGATTCCGCCGTGTTGAATCTCGGTGAGAGCACAGTCTGCTAGAGTCACCAGAATGCCTTGGGAGCAAGTCATGAGTATAGTTGCACAATCCAGAGATCGCTAGTAGGCAGCGGAACTACTTACTAGGCCCAATCAGCAGACACCAGAGTTGCGGCACGTGAACCATCTTCCTCGCAAGGGAGCGATTAATCTTATTCACAACCTGCTTGCCCTCCGGCTCGTCGCCCAAGACGTAGCCATAGAGAAACTGAAGCAGCGTCAAGGACTCGAACCCTTCCTGCCCCGCGACGGGCCGCGTCTTCTCCTTGAGCAGTAGATACGGGACAGACAAGAAAATGACAGGGTCTGTCTCTTTCTTGGCATCTTCCGCATAGATGCCAGTGTAGCGCAGCATGGCCCCGGCCTCGATCATCTTGCCGTTGTCAACCCGATGCTGTAGACTCTGACAGCCATCTTCAAGCAGAGACAAAGCCACCTGCTTCAGGTCGTAAGACAAAATGTCCGACGGGCAATGGGAGATGAGCCGCTGAGTCGTGTTAGTATTCTTGGACTGTTCAGAAAATTGTCGCTAAGATAGACGTACGACGAGGTAATCCAGCGAGAGTGCTTGTCGTTTGGCATGGCTGCAATCAATCAATACATTAGTTTTGGTCTGGACCTCATCCGATGATGGATCCAACTCACAGCCATCTCATCTGAATCACTGATGTCTGCTTCTTCGCCTCTGTTACAGCCTCCGGCATGGAAACAAGAGTAACGTTGCTCCGACCACTACCATCTTCAAAGTGTTCCAATGCTTGAATTGCCAGCAACTCGGTCGTCGCGCTATCTTCCTTGCATATCGTGTGGGGCTGCAGCCAGGCCATTGCCGTCGGCTCCGTCGCCGCCAAAGTCGGCTTCTCCAGCCCGTGTGGCGCTACCGTAACCTCGATTGTGCGAACTATGCGAGAGACCGTCTGAGCAATTAACGGGTCGAACGTCAGCCTCTGCGGCGCCTGGATGTCAAGCCCCGTGCAGGTGGGCGCTTGAGGGACGGCAGCGGCCTCGCCGGCGGAGCTGGTAGTCTGGTATTCTTCCGCCCTAGGCGGTGGCGGCGGTGGCGGGGTCATTGGAGGAGGAGCAGGGGGTGCTGCGGTGGGAAACTCTGCCGGAGGGGGAGGGGGAGGTGGAATATTGAAGTGGGAGCTGGGAGGCGCGAAAGGATTCTTGCCCACCTCGCAGGGCGTCGTGTTGTATTCGCCGATGGCTGGACTGCCGTAGTATCCCCTCGGATCGCCATAGTATCCCCTCGGGTCGTCATAGTATCCCCTCAAGTCGCCATAGTATCCTCTCGGATCGCCACCATAGTACGTCCCTTGACTTGGATATGCCCCGGTGTTGAAGTAGTCCCCCGAAGCAGGCAGATTCCCAGGATATTGACTGTTGTGCCTGAGAGGAGATCCGTACCCAGACGCAGTCGATTGGGGGTAACTCGGACGCGGTCCATACCACGGAGCAGACCGGTGAGAATACCCGAAAGATTGCCCATGCCCCGGATTGTACCGCGAAAATCGACTGTATCCGGTAGTTTGTCTATAACCGGGAGCGTAATATCCGTCGGCCGGAAGTGCCGGTGCTCGCGTGAATCGGTCGTGAAGAGGGGCAGACGGATTTACCAGACGATGCGCCCGCACACCACGCCCATAAGACTCCCGATAGCCATGTGGAAAACGGGAGGCGTTGTGGCCTTGTGGACCGTAATAAGGAGGTTCATCGTCCGACAAAACGGAGGATGGGGGCCCCGGCACACTCGGAAATTGGTGCTGGGGTCGCGGGGGCGAGCAATCGTGGCGCACTGGTGGAGGAGGCCTCGTCTGCTGGCGCTGCCTGTTGATGCGAATAGATGCGGAGTCGTCAGGACCGATAGCGTCGCCAGAATCGTCCGCCCAATCGTCCTCTTCCTCATCATCCCAATACTCGGCCGGTTCTGAACGGGGACTGTCTCCCGAGCGCTGACAGCTACCGGATTCCGAGGCGACGTAGGCCTGGTACTTTCGAGTTTTGGCAACGGGAGGAGTAGATGGAGTGGAAAGTGGTGGGGCGGGATCTCCGCGGCCCGAGTCCGCGCGCTGGGACCAGTCATCGGATGGATCCATTGTTTTTGGGCAGCTTGCCACTCTCGAGTCTCAACCCACTCACTGTGTTGCACTACCCCAGTTGCCCAGGTGCGAAAGAGCTCTCACCCCAGATGTGCGGAAATAGTGTGATGGATTTCGATTATATCTGGTACGTCTGCTGAACGGGCTGCGAGGACATGATAATCGGCTCGACGGGCGGCGATTCGCTACCAATCCTGTTCAGTTTGCCAGCCTCGAGACGGTCAGCTCGGGCGTAATGGCGAATTCAGGTGTTCTGGAGAGCGTCAATTACCAAGTGGCATTGCGCGGATAAATTGACGGATGCGGGGTTCAGCTTTGGATGACTAACTCTTTCAAATTATGTCCATGTTCAATTAGCTTGCGTTGGTTTTGCTGATGCCATCAGGGTGACCGCCAGTGGCCTTTTACGCACGATAAAGTATTAGGCAAATTGTGTTACCTTTATCACTGAATATAGATATTTAATAAATATAGTAAGATACTTTAGTCTAGCTTCTACACTAAACAAGTTCTCAAAGTACTGATAGCTATCATCAGTGGCGAAATTGTATCGCTTAGAAAAGTGAATATTCTCAGCTATACCGAGTACCGGCAATCTGATTCAACTGATGTGGGGCCGTTGGCCGAGTACTCAGCTTGTCAGCCTCTGTCTCACCAGAGTACGAGTGTGACAACTGCCACGCCACCATTTTTTTTTTTTTTTGACAAGGACGAGCTTTTGTGACCATGACGTTGAGGAGCACGTTTGCACGTCTCCTGCGAGCCCTGCGATCGCTACTTCCAGGTTAGCACGGTATGTTTGATGGATGTAATGAAGATGATGCCTCACCTCGACACTGCCAGGCTTAGTCGAGCCGTCCAAGAGGCGTGGATGTTCTCGATGGTCCTAAGAATGGTCGTAAAGCATAAATACAGCAGCGAGGTGAAATGCGACCAGTATAACCCATGGCGTTCTTGTATTATAGCGAAGCGGTCTTTCTTGTCGACAGTGTTTGGGTGCAATCCGCACAGTATAATCGCAAGACTTTGGCCCATGGATGCACCGACTTTTTGTTTTGAATCCACCTTCAATTTGCCCTATGGAAGGCTTCCATAGGTAAAACGGCCTGGCACTGGCACAGCAGCGCCTAGACAAAGACAGCTCACTATCATGGACTTTTTGTAGGGTATGATGAGAAGGCCAGGACAGAGAAGTATAACTTATGCAGCACTTTGCGAATATCGCGGTCTCGCGTTTCTCCTCATTCTGGAACTGATCTCGTAATGATACGTCAAGACTATAGTAGCGATAAGATATAGGTCCTAAACTCTTGAATGAGGCAAGAAGCGCGAAATTATAGAACGGTTGAAGGCGGCAGCAGAAAAAATGTCTCTTGAACTTGAGTTGGTGTGTCTACGTCTCGACGAGCATGGCGGCGAGATTAGGTTCACAGAAGCGGTGGTCAAGAGAGCCGCAGCAAACGAAATAAATGGGAGGGGATTGATGAATCTCCTTGTAGAGAAGCGAGGAAAGGACATCAATCTTACAGAACAGTCTTACAGAACAGGTGATGAAGACAACGGCACGAAACGAGAGGACTCGTCAACAAGTGGTGGGTCTTCTCCTGAAGAACTGGTGGAATGATGTCAACATAACCGAAGAGGTCATGAGTGACGCAATGGAGAGCCTAATAGCGGCAGCGGCCTCTCAAGGCTCTATGGGGCCACAATAGCTTGCTTTATGCTCGCTCCGTTTCTACACGGCTGCTGTGGTATTGGGGTGCTGTGGAATGCCATCTCTCTCACGGTAATAAAGTCCGCCATGATAGGGCTTGTGAGAACGAAACCGTCTTTTCTGAGGGTTTATAGACAATACAATCTTAACCTACTAAGCGCCACTGTCATTCTACCGGCCGGTACAGGGCTCGACAGCAGCTGCTAGCAGCAGCCTGCGAAGTCTTTCAATTATCGAGTGTGGTTGGAGGTTCTACGGTATTGAAGTTCTGTTTCCGCTTGACTCAGCGACATAAGAATAAACCGCATAGTTTGCAGGGAATGTCTCCCCTTCTTGGCTCGTGAACAACAGTGTAGCAGCGCGCACTCATCAGAGAACAATTGTTCCGCTTTCTGACAACTCGACGAGTTAACCCACTGTCACCCAGTTTCTATTCGTAGAACAACAACAGTTAAAGCAGTTAGACTTGACACATTTTTTTCCAACTAATTACGCAACAACAAAGTACGTCGAACATCTGTTGGGCCCACGCTGCAGGTTCGCTTCGTATTGGCTTCCAACTGCCACATGCTAAAAAAGCAACTGTTGTAGCTGAATACAGTGGGTCCAGGTAATTCCGCTCACGAATCCACCAAAATATGTACTAGTACTAAGTCACGTCGCGTAGAATACAGTGGGTGGCAACAAATATTTGACCCCCTCCAGGTAGCGGTTTTGCGCTGACGCTAGCCTTAAAAAGCAGCTGAATTACGCCGCTTTAAAGCTATAAGGGTTAGGGTTATTTATATCCTCTATAATCCTCTATAAATTCACTATAACTTTATCAGGGTTAGGGTCGGCAGCTCTGGCTTAAAGCAGCATTGTTTTGATATTCCTATTTAGGTAAGGCCTAGCTGCGATACCCTGGGGGGGTCAAATACTTGTTGCCACCTACTGTATTAACATATGAACTTTAAAGCCTAATTACACCCCATTCTAATGCCTAGAGTCACCTAAAATACTAACTATAGTCCTTATAAGAGGGGAAAGGTATAGTAACTACATTTAATTAGTTATTTAACTAAGGATATAGTATAGTTAGAGTAAATACTATAAGGGAGTATATCTAGTATTATAATATACTATAAATATTAAATTAAGGGTTAAGATAGACTATACCCTAGAGTACTAAGATAAATATTAGACTATAATAAAAGATATATCCTTTAAATTATTAATAATAACCTTTTTATCTAAAATAAAAAGCTG